GGGCGGGCGAGCGCGGGCGTGCGGGCGGCGGAGCCGCCGAGCGACGGCGGCGGGGGCGACATGGGGCGGTGCCGCGCGACGGCAAAAGGGGCGAGGCGTGGACGCGGCCGCTCGACCGCGCCCCGCCTGCGCCGCCGCCATGGACAGCGCAGCGTCGTCGGGTCACGTGGACTCCAGCTCGTGGATCGCGTGCGGCGCCGAGGGGTGCCGGCGCCCGCCGGCTGCTCCGTGCGCGAGCGCGTGTCGCGCTGGAGCCGCGTGCTGCTGGGGCGCTGCTCCAGCGACGACGGCCGACGACGGCGGCGACCGCGACGCGCGATAACGACCCGCGCCTTCCGTGATCAGGTGCCGTGCCCGTACCGCCTTAACGTTGAAGTATTCCTCGCCGGGTGAAGGTGGACTCGTCGGCTTTCTGTTTGAGAGAAGATTCATACTCGGAACAACATACACATTATTATATCCGTAAATGAATATTAGTTTCCTCTTGTCGCATTTCTAACAAAACACTTCCTTGTCTGAATTTTTCATCTCGTTAAGCGCAGCTCGTTAATATTTAACTCATAAGATTTTGTTTCGATTATCCAGGGGTTGTATCAACTGGTGCAACCTAAGCACGGACCCACCACTCGTCAAAATTGTCCAAAACCGTGATTTTCGCGATCTGTGCTCCCACCGTCAGCACCGTGACCGCTACCGGCTGGTTCCTTTCAACCCACACTTTTCACTCAGTGTTTCACTTGGAGGCCGCAAGCGCCACGCTTTGTTAAGCCAGCGCAATGTGTTTTTAAAATATCGATATTTTCCACCAGAAACGACGGTATACTAAATGGTTTTTTTTTTGATGTTTTTTAGATGATATATTTTTCCTGAATTTCTTATGTTTCAATAACGTTTTTATATTTTTGATGATTTTTGTACTTGGTAAATATTTTAACTACATTTTGATGCTTATTTGCAGTTCTTGATGAGAAAATTAAGAAGACGTGGTGTTTTTAGGACAGAATATACTATAAAATAATATTTACATATTATGCACTATATTAGATGTTCCATGTCGATGATTTTATGAAATGAAAGCGAATAATAATTATAACAAAACGATGTCCTTTTATTTTTTACATCAATAAACATTACTTTTTTAAAATTCTAATTAACATATTAACTTATACTGACAAACAATTAAATATACCGGATATTTTTGTTTTAAAAAATTAATTTAAAAATGGAAACACGATGCGGAAAAACCAATTTGATTTACCATATTGAAACGTCGATATTTTTAACATCGGATGTTTTTGCTCGAATAAACTTTTTGGTGATGTATGGAAAACTCATGTGTAGAATGTTCTTTATAGTGAAATTTGCATCGTACGGTGCGCAGCCTGGCGCGGCGCCGCGCGTGAGGGAGGCGGCGCGTGGGCGCGCGGGCCGCCAGCGCGCTACAAACCGGCGACGACAGCTTCTCCAGCGGCGCTCGGCGCAGTGCGCGCAGCTCGGGGGAGCGTGGCGCGCTGGTGCTCGCCCGCTACTCGCCGTCGCCGTCCCGTCGCCGCCGGCCGCCCCGCTGCCGCTGCCGTGCCGCCCGGCGCCGCGGGGCGGGGGGGGCCGGGGCGCGCGGCGCCGCCAACCCACGTCGTCGGCGCGGCGCGCCCCGGCGCCGCCCCGCGTGCAGTGCTGCGCCCGCGGGCCGGGCGCTCGCCGCCGCCGTCGTGCGCTCCGACCGCGCAGCCCCTGCCCGCCGCGCGACGCCCTCGCAGCGTAAAGTGAGCCTTCGCCCGATTTCCCTCGCCAGTTAATCGCCCCCTTGCGCTTTGAAGTACCTGACAGGATAAAGGCATGGCCCGACTGCACCCGCGCAGTATTTACTCGCACCCGCTGCCCAGTTCAATACCCTTTCACTTTGAAATGCCTGACAAAGCATAGCCCGATTGCACTCCACGGTCAAATTTTAATCGCACCTGCCAGTTAATACTTTTCACTTTGAACTGCCTGACAAGGCATAGCCTGATTGCAATCCACGGTCAGATTTCTTCGCACCTGCCACGTAAATAAACTACCTTTCACTTTGAAGTACCTGACAAGTTGATAGTCCGATTGTACCCCGCTTGTCAGAGATTTCCCTCGCACCTACGGCCAGATAACCTTATCATTTTATCACTCAAACAGATTGCATCCCGCGGAAAGATTTCTCAACCCGCTTTCCGTTCCCTTCGCTTTTGGGGCTGTCTCAGAAGACCATAGCTGTACTACACCCTGGCCGGCGTTTTTAGAACGGGAAGGACGAAAGAATTTAGTTGAGTTCTCGATCCTAGGCAATGGACTGATTCCCGCGGGAACACTTCCCATTTAACCTCCTTTGACTTTTGCTACTGAGGAGCAAGTGATTGCTTCCCTATGACAGTAAATAAAGGAACTTTCTTTAAGTTTCCATTAATTAGTAATGCAAAAAGATTTTTTTGCACTAGTCAAAAAACAATTCCAATGTAGATTGAAGTGGCAAACACTTCCAACTTCGCAACTTCGCAAACATTAGCATTTTCTTCCAACGCATATTTTATTCAGCGAAGCTGTTATATTTACGTACTACTTTACAGAAAGTGAGTCTTTGACGCACGAACAAATAGTTGATGGACGAGCCCCTACAGGAGCAAAGTTCAAGCGTTTTTGAATTAAGAATGCCAAAGATACTTTCGTTTGAGTTGCGATACATTTTTTTTACCAAGCTAACGAACGCTGGTGTATCGCTCAGTTTTTGGCATTGACATCGTAAATGGCGCTGATGTGTCGCGTTACACCCCGAAAGATCAGTAATTCAATGACGTTTGTTAGATGGTGCAACCATTTGTGGTGGTAATACTCCTATCTGCCGACCCCTCCGGAACTACCCGCGACTTTCGTATTTCCACGATGTTTCGAAAAATCCAGCCAAACACGGATCCCTTCCACTGTGCCCTTTTTGTTCAAAACGGGCCTTGATAAAGAATCTCTTCTCGCCATCCGGAAGTGAGGATAGGCGTTTTATATATTACAGAGAGATTCGATTTATATCATTTTAATTGCAGTTTTACATTGAAATGTCGCCAATGCCACCGACAAAGAAATCCTGGATTGTTTCGTTGGGCAGCAGTAAAAACATTTCGCATCAACTCGTGGTTAGGACAATTTAGCAGTTCCAGAGAAAACAAGAAAAACCCACTGTGAAGATGTTCGCGAGGATCTGACAGAAGAACCAAGAACCATTTGCCCCAATTTGTTTGCAACACCCCACTTTGTTTCAATTATTTTGCTTTGACATTCAATTACATTCTAATAATTTTCTTTTTTCTTGTGTGTTTTGAATATTAATGTATTTTTTATACTTGTATTTAATTTCTTTACTTTAACCGTAAGGAAGTATGATATAAAACTTATCATACTACTGAATTTTATTTAATACT